ACAATGTATGAGAACAACAAAAAATTGTTTTTTTTTTTTTTAAAGATTATTTTTTTTATTTTTTTTTTTATTTTATTTTCCATTCTATTTTAAATTAATTAAATTATTATCAAAAAAAGCTTTACCATTTTATTGTTTCACTACAAAAAAAAAAAATTCAATAATATTTTTTTTTTTTATTTTTTATTTTTTTTTTATTTTTAAAAAAACATTTCCATTACTAAATCAAAAGTTTCTCCTTTTTTTTTTTTTATTTATTGTTTTACAAAAATAAAAAAATATATATTTTTTTCTAAAGGAAGAATAAATAAATATTTATTTATATCACACCCCCCCACAAAATTTCATTTTTTTTTTTTTTTTTTAACACACACAAGGGATAATTTTTTTTTTCCAAACACATATCTAAATAATTTTAAAAATGGTCAAAATATTAAAAAATAACACATAGGAGCAAAATAAAATAAAATAAAATATCTTGGTCCCCAAAAATAAAAATAATAACAAAATAATAATAATAATAAAATAAAAATAATCTTGCAATGATACAATTAATATTATTTAATTTAAAATTAAATATTTATCTAAAAATAAACTTCAACAATTTTATTCCCCCACCCCGCTCATGTCCACAAAACCATAAATAATATTTGGCCGTTTTTTTATTTTTTTATTTTTTATTTTCCAAATTAAATTAAATAACGATATTACCATTTATTAAGTTTAAATAAATACAAAAAAAATAAATAAAAAATAAAGTATAAATTCTTTAGATTTTTTAAAAAAATAAAAAAGAAGAAAGAAAGAAAGAAGGGAAAGAAGAGGAATAGAACAAAAATAATACTTTATTAAAGTGATAAATTCAATACACGATAGCAACAACAACAAAAGCAACAACAACAACAACAACAACAACAACAATAACAATAACAACGAAAAAGAGGGATAGTAAAATAATCTGATGTATCTTTATAAACAAATAGATGTATGAAGTAGTATACCATTTAAATTATTCATATATGTATAATTTTCTATATAATATATTTATATATTTTATACACATATTTGGTTATTATTATTATAATTTTTGAATTATTTTTTTAATTTTTTAATTTTTTAATTTTTTAATTTTTTAATTTTTTTAATTTTTAATTTTTTAATTTTTTAATTTTTTAATTTCTTTTCACACAAATTAAATACATACACATATAAAAAAATATAAATATATCTTTAATGATATTGCAATATTTAATTATATATAAACTTTAATATTAAATATAATGTAATAATATTATTTTTTTTTAATTTTCTTTTTAATTTTTTTTTTTTTTAATTTTTGAAAGTAAAAAATCATGATTTAAAATACTTTTTAATTTTTTTTTTTTAATTTTTTTTAATTTTTTTTTTTTTTTTTTTAATTTTTTCAAAACAATAATAATAATAATAAAATAATTATTTTTTAAAAATATACTAATTTAAATTTTTAATAATAACCATAATATAGATTTCTAATAATTTTAATGCTCAAGTTTGGATTAATGTAAAACTTAATCAATTTCTTTAATATCCTTCACTCAACAATTTTTTTTTTTTTTTTTTTTTTTTTTTTTTGGAAAAATCATCTTTTTTTAAAAAAAAAAAAAAAGAAAGAAATATAATATAATATAATATAATAATGGCTTTTTAGGAAAAAAAGTTAAAATTTTTAAACAGTAACCACAAACCAATAAAATAATATAAACAAATCATAATCATTTATAATAAAAATGATCAATTCTATTTTATCAAATAATAGTAATAATACTACCAACAGTAGTAATAGCATTAAAATTTGTAAGGAGGAGGAGAAAGATTTAACTTTACAATCATTATTAAAATGCTCAAGTGGCACCATTCTATTTAGCCAATTTGGTGTTCTAAATCAACAACAACAACAAAAAAATAATGATAACAATATAGATAATAATCAATTAATAATTGAAAGTGTAAATAACAGTAGTATTTGTATAAATAATAAAAAATCAAATGACAGTATATTTTTAAATAATATTAACACACCAAATAGTAGCAATACATCATCATCAAATGATAATAGTTTAAATAATACAAATCCCAATTTATTATTAAGTAATAATAGTGTATCAATTAATAATGGTGATGAAGAGGTAATAATAAATGGTTATAATGATGACAACTATCCAATTGATGAAAATTTTCTAGATTTTAATAATGATAGCAGTGGGGATAATGTAAATAATAGTTTAGAGGGAAATGAATTCAATGATGATTCATTAAGAAGATCATCTCAGTTTGGTAATGATGACGATAATATATCAACATCATCCGAAGACTCAGAAAATATTGATGAAATTTTAGTATACACCGAAGATATCGAATCAGAAAAAGAAAAAAGAAGAGAAAGATTAATAACTTCACCACCAAGTTTTGATCCACATACAATTTATTCAATGTCTCAGTCATTATTAAATTGTTCTTTATCATGTTCACAAGGTAGTAATTCAATTCATAATAGTGCAAGTAATAATGATATTGCACATTCATTAAATAATAGCAATAATAGTATCAATCAATCATTTTCATCATCATTTCAAAATCAACCTTATTTTCCAATAAATAATAATAATAGCAATAATTATAATAGTAGCAGCAATAGTAATAGTATAAACTCTTCTGAACAACATCCATTATCATTACAACATGTTTTACAACAACAATTAGAATCATCAAATCAATTTTTCCCAATTGTTAATAGTAATAGTAAATCATCATCAAATTTATTATTAAATAGTTTCGGTAGTAGTAATAGTGCTAGTAGTGGTTTAAGTAATATTATGTTTTCACCATTTTCTCCACCATTTTCAACATCGCCTCCAATGTCCCCACCAAATCGTAATATTAGATCAATGACTTTTCCGGGTACATGTTCATCCAACAGTAATAATATTATTAATAATAATAATGTTATCAGTAGTTCAAACAATTCAACAGTTAGTTTTAATAGTAATAATAGTTTAAACAATTCAACATCAAAAATAAATCCATTAAATTTAAAATCAATTAGAAGAAGTACTGATGATACAACATTTTATAATAGCCAACAACATTCACCATCCAATAATCAAAGAGTACAATTAGATGAAAAAACATTAGAGCAATTAAGAAATATAAGAAAGGAAATTTATGAATTAATCGAAAGAAAGGAATCATTAAAAGAAAAACAAAATCTAATTAATGAAGGTTATTCTGAAAATTGTGAAAACTTTGAAAATATTGAAGAAGAAATTTTAAATATCAAATTAAAAATAGAACAGCTCGAAGGTCAATTATTTACCTTGTCACCAAATTCCGGATGCAATGCTTCGTCAACAAATAATTCATGTAGTGGTAATAGTAGTGGTGGTTTCAATTTAAATATTAACTCCAGTATTAATAGTGGAAGTGGTAGTAGTCATATATCACCAAGATACAATTCGTCCTCTTCTTTAACAAATTCATTAAGAAAATTTTCACAAGAGCTAAAGTTAGAATTAAGACCTTTAGATTTAAGAGCCGAGCTTTATAGCAATACCAACCATCATGTCACTTCACCACGTAAATCATCATTACGTGGGAGTCCAGTTTCATTTTTTGAAATTGATGATCAAATTGATACAGAAATTTCAGAAAAGAAAAGTTTAGAACAATTTGAATCGCTTATTGAATTAATTCAAGAGAATCAATTACACACCCGTTCAATCGAGTTAAAAGATTTAGAACTAAAAGAAAAGATTGATGTTGGCAGAACCAATAATATCTGGCAGGTCGAATATAAAAATACTTCATTGGTATTAAAGCAACCCAAAGATTCAAATGATCCCAAAGCTAAAGAAAGAAAAGAGATATTGTTCAACCGTTACCAATCAATTCAACACAAGAATTTAAATTTATTAGTTGGCTTTTGTGGTGAAAGTATTTTATATGAAAGCTTTAAAGATATGACTTTGCTCTATGACTTGCTACACAAAGATCCAATCAAAATCGATATGACTTTATTTATGAAAATTGCTAAGGATGTCGCTACCGCTATCTCAGAACTACATTCAAATGGTATTTTACATGGTAACTTAACAAGTAAATCTGTATATATTGATAAATTCCAAATTGTTAAAGTATCATTCCCAAAATTAAATGCATCAGATTTAAATAACCCTTCAATTGAACCACGTTATATGGCACCAGAAATTACTAAAATGGAAACAGATCAAATATCAAGCTCGATCGATGTTTATTCATATGCATTTGTTTTATGGGAAATGTTAACCAATACCATTCCATTTAGAAAATTCAATGATGTTTCTGTAGCTGCTAAGGTTGCTTATGAAAATTTACGTCCAAGAATTCCAACAAGCTGTCCTTTAATTGTTAGAAGATTAATCAATCGTTGTTGGTCACCAAATCCATGTGAACGTCCAGCTTTTACTGATATCATTAAGCTTTTTGATCATTTAGAAGGAAAACTATTCTTTTCGTCTCCTGGTATACTATGGTCTTTAAATCACGATCAAGAAATTGAAAAAGAAAAGCAAAAGAAATTAAAGTTTGACGAAATAACAGAATTCCTCCGTGGTAAAAAAGAAATAAAATTTGAGGAGATTGCAATTTGTGAAAAGATTGGCCAGGGTTCATTTGCAAATGTTTATAGTGGTATTTGGAACGGTTTTCGTTGTGCTATTAAAATTTTAAAGAATGAAAATCTATCACATAGCGAAAAATTCATTAAAGAAGTTGCAAGCCTTATTCAAGCTCATCATCCAAATGTCGTCAGTTTCTTTGGTGCTTGTGTTGAACCACCTTGTATTTTTACAGAGTATATGGAAGGTGGCAATTTATATGAAATTCTTCATGTTAAAAAAATTAAATTGGATCGTTTAATGATGTTCAAAATTGTCCAAGATTTGGCTTTGGGTATGGAGCATTTGCATTCATTACCATCACCAATGTTACACCGTGATTTAACAAGTAAAAATATTTTGGTATGTAAAAAAAAAAAAAAAATTAAATGTTTAATTCAAATTACTAATTATTTTTATTTATTAGCTTGATGAATTTAAAAATATAAAAATAGCAGACTTTGGTTTAGCTACTTATCTCAATGACGAAATGACTCTTGCTGGTGTTTGCAATCCAAGGTAAGTTATATTTTTATAAAAACAATTTAATATATAAACAATAATACTAATATTTTTTTATTAAAGATGGAGAGCACCAGAAATTACAAAGGGTTTAAATTATAACGAAAAAATTGATGTTTATTCATTTGGTTTGGTTGTATACGAAATATATACTGGAAAGATTCCATTTGAAGGTATTGATGGTTCTGCTGCTGCCGCTAAATCAGCCTATGAAAATTATAGACCAGAAATTCCAATTGACATCCCAATTTCAATAAGATTGTTAATCACTAAATGTTGGGCTGCACTTCCAGATGATAGACCATCATTCACAGAAATCCTCCACGAATTAACTTTAATCAAACCAAAGATCATTAAACAAGTCAATATGTTTACAGATTTAACAAATGCAGAAAGTGATGAAGAAGATAAAAATTTAAATTATGACTGTGATGAAGAAAACTAAATTTAAATTATTTTTTAAGATAATTCAAATTTAAATTAATTTTTTTTTTAAATTAAAAAAAAAAAAACTTGTAAAAAATCATTTTAATATCAAAAACTTTTAATAAATCGATTTATAAAAAATATATAAATATATATTTTTATAACTTTTAATAATATTATAATTATAAATAATTATAATTAATTTTTTTAAAAAAAAAAAAAGATTTCTTAATTATTACTTTTAATAAAAAAAAACTATCAAAACTTTTTTTATTTTTTTACAATATTTATTATTATAATATTAATTATTATATAAAATAAAATTTAATTTTATTATTTTAACTTATTTTTTATTTGTCGATGGTGAGGATCTTGTTAGTGAAGAGGCCGATGAGGGTCTATTTGGTATTGTGGTTGGTAAAGCTTTAGATGATGAGGGTGAGGAAAGACCCATCGAGGAAGATGGTCTGGGTATATTCGAATCTTTAGATAATGGAGAGCTTTGTGAGGCGGTACTATTATTTTTTGATGGGGACAAAGCGGATAAAACTTTAATTGGTGTTAAAACTTTTGGTTTTAAACCAGAAATTAATCTACTGGGACTATTATTTGAAGAAACATTTCTTAAAGTGCCACTGGATACTGAGGTTCTATGGACACCTAATTTATATTCAATCTCACCATCATTTTCTTCAGGAGCAGGAGTACCAGACCTATAGTCATTACCACGTGGAACTGATGGTAATGATTTTGAAAATGGAGCAGGAGTACCAGACCTATAGTCATTACCACGTGGGACTGATGGTTTTGATATTGTTTTGGTTGCTTTGATTACAGGACCTCTAATTGGAGATAATGGTTGAGATGTTTTAATTTCTCCACCATTTGAATTGTAGGTTTTTTGAATTTGTAATTTTTTCATTTCATCGGAACCATTTTCTGCAGCAATTTTATCAATGTCACCAGCGGTAATTACAGAGTTATAACGAATAAGAAAATCTTTTAGTGTCATCCAGCCACCACCAACTCTAACTACGATAATATTATTTACACATCTCATATTAACGATTGTGTCACCCCATTTATATTTATTTGCTGATATTCTAATAATTGGATTTGGAACCACAATTGATGGTGGTAATACCTTTTTCATTGTATTGTTTAAAAATTCCCCAAATATTCTATCTGTTTGATCGCTTTGTAATGCATTATATTTTGGATAGTTTAATACTGTATTATATGACCTATGATAACTGTAATCTTTTTTTAATGCCTCTTTTTTAGTCTCTTCTGTGATATCAATGTCGACATCGAGATTGCTAAATTTATTTAAATCATCATCCTCAGGGGCGTTATTATTTAGTTTTGGTGGGTTGTTTGGAATTGTATTTTTATATATAGTTTGGGATGATGTTATTGTTGTTGACGATATAGTTGTTGATGAGGATGATTGGCTTAATGACGATGATGGTCTTTTAAGTTGTGATGTTTTTGATGGTGAGGAGGTTGGTGTTGATTTTGTTGGTGTGGTTTTAGTTGGTGTGATGGGTGTTGATTTTGTTGGTGCAATGGTTTTTATTGGTGTGGAGGTTTTTGTTGGTGTAGAAGCTTTTGTTGGTGCAGAGGTTTTTGTTGGTGTAGAAGTTTTTGTTGGTGTATTGTTTGCTGATTTTGTGGGTGTTAACTTTGTTGGTGCAGAGGTTTTAGTTGTGGTTGTTTTGGTAGTGGATGAGATACTTGATTTTTTAGCCTCCTCAATTACAACTGATGCAGCCATTGTTTTCTTTTTTGTTGATATTGCTGATACCGGGGTTGGTGGCTTTTGTTTAACTGGTGATGAAACTGGAGTTGTAACCGGTGTAGTAATAGGAGTTGTGGATGGTGAGGTTGTTGGGGTTAAATTCTCGCTACTGCTATTAATTTGAATAGTTTTGGCGGATACTGGTTTCTTTAATAATGAAACTTTAGATGGGCTATCAATTGATTTGATTGGTTCTGACAAAGATAATTCTTTATTAATTTCATTTGTTTCAGTAATTAACTTGTTTGAAAATAATTTTGTTGTTATACTGTTTGAGCTAGAGCTGCAAATAACATTTGTTTCACTATTTATTTCTTCTTTGATCACAACAGTTTTTTTTGTATTTTCAGAGGATATTAAACTTGATGATTCATTTGATATTTCAGATGTTGATAAATTTGATTTTAAACTATTTATTTCATTTGTATTTTCATCACTGTTTGTATTATAATTAACAATATTATTAACCACTATAATGTTATTTACTACAATTGTAGTTGATTTGTTTGAAATTTGTGTAGTATTTAATGTTTGTTGACAATTATTATTTAAAGTTGTAAAAGGAGCTGTTTGGTTCTCTATTATTGCTATTTGATCATTACCATTGGTAATTCCCTTTTTAACATTATTACTTAAAATTAAAATTTCTTCATCGTTGGTCGATGGGATTTGTTCTTTATTAAATCTATCAATTAGATTATTTTTCTTTTCTTTTCTTTCTTCTTGTTTTTGTTCTTTTTGTGGTTGTTGTAATTGCTCTAATAATTGTTGTTGTAGTTGTTGCTGTTCTTCTTGTTGTTGGATAGCAATGCTATTATTGATTTCTATATCTTTACATTCTAAATTTTGAGCTGGTTCTAATGTGTTTTCTACCTTTATTTCTTGTTCAGATTCTTCAACTGTATCAAACTCTTTAAATGTTGTATATTCTACTTTTTCATTGCTTTGTATAGTATTAATCTGTTCAATATCTTTACCTTCCTCTAATTGAATTTGATTATTATTGCTAATGGCTATGCCTTGAGTATCATGGTTAGAGGTAATTGTTTTATTTTCTGTATCATCTTGAGCTTTATTTACATTAAAGCTTTCTTTCATAGTTTCTTTTTGTTTATCAATAGATCCCATAATTTGAATTCCAAATTCTTCTTGTTTATCTATTTCAACAATTTCTTTATCTATTAAAAGAATTTTAGGTAATTGTTCTTTAGGTTCATCTTGATCTTGCTCGTTATTTTTTTGAATGAAGTTTGGAGTTTCAATATTTTGTTTTGGGTCTTCTGTTTCATTTTCATTTATGAGTTCGTTAGATTCAAAGATTTCTGTTTGCTCTTTACAAAATTGGGTTTGTTTAAATTGTACGAGATCGGTAACAATGTAGTTATTTTCAATAATTGTATCACTAACGTTGATTTCAATTTGTTGAATATCCTCTTTTTTATTACTTTCTGAATCTTCAATTTCTTCTTGTTGAACTCCAACCTCCTCTAAATGAACCTCATCTTCTTGTTGAACTTCAACCTCCTCTAAATGAACTTCATCTTCTTGTTGAACTTCATCTTCTTTAATATTCTCTGGGTCTTCAACCTCTTCTTGAAGGTCATTTTCAAGTTGTTCTTCAATAACTTCCTCTTGTTTGTCGACATTCTCTTCTTCGAGTTCAATTTCTTCAATATTATCTATTATTTCAGATGATTCGATTTCAGATGATTCGATCTCAGATAATTCGATTTCAGATGGTTCGGATGGTTCAGATGGTTCGGATGGTTCAGATAGTTCGGATGGTTCGGATGTTATTTCATCATCATTAATTGTTAAATTCATAATTAATTCATCAGTTTCATCTTTAATTAAATATTCTTCGTCACCTTCCTGCTCAACATAAGAGCCCATAATATTTAAAATTTCGTTTAATGATGGTTCTAAAAATTCTTCTTCGGATTCTTCATCTTCATCATCTTCATCATCCTCATTGTCATAATCACTATTATCACTTGTATTGGCACTATTTAATATTTTATCGAAAGAGTTTGGTGAGCTTGATGGTGATGAATCACTACCAGAACTTCCCTTTTTTTTTTCTTTATCTTTTTTGGATAGGTGTAAAAATGATGTAATTGAAAGACCTTTTTTCCCTTTTTCTTTATCTTTTCTGTCTCTTTCTATTCTTTCTTTTTCTTCACGTTCAAAACGTTCTTTTTCTTCTCTTTCTTTTTTTTCTCTTTCTTCTCTTTCTCTTCTTTCTTTTTCTTCACGTTCTTTTCTTTCTTTTACTTTGTCCTTTTTCTTTCTCATTATCAATGTAGGTGGCAGTGGCATATCTTCAGTTAACCCATAAACTTGACTATTGTTAAAATTAAGTTGTATACCGCCAATATTATTATTATTGCTATTGCTATTATTATTGCTATTATTATTTATATTTTTGTTTATATTATTATTGTTTATATTATTATTGTTTATATTATTATTGTTACTATTGTTTAATATATTACCAATCTGTTCTTGTTGTGGTTGATTTTGAACTTGTTGTTGTTGTTGTGTTGGATTTGTTTCATTATGAAAATGAGTTATCATTAATTTATGTTTAAAACCTCTTTTTGCACCTTGAATTGATAATGCTAATAAACAGTAGATTACTTTTTTCAAATTCTTTTTTTCATATAAATCTGTTGGAAGAAAGAGACAGTTTGGCGAAACTCCTAATTCTAAACATGCACATAAAAAGAAATTTATATTCTCTAACTTCATATATGATGGTCCTTTTGTTCCATGAATCTTTTTAATAATTCCCGGTTTTATAATATTTACTAATTTACATAACCAAATCTTTATTGGATAAAAAATATTATGTTAATAAATATTATTCTTAATATTATCTATAATTTATTGATCACATATTATAAATGAACCTACACCATCAGTTAAAGCTTGAAATAAATCTTCTTCTTCAAAACTATGATCAAAGATATCTTCTAACCATGCTCTAACCTCTTCTCTATTATATAAGAATGCATAATCATCCCATGCTTGTCTTTTTGCAGTTAATCTATTTGTATCTTTTGGTCTGAATAAAATAACATCTGCTTCGCTTTCGCTATCTGATGAATCGATACTATTGTTTGTTTGATTTGTTTTATCTGGCGATGTAAACTCGTCTGCTTTTGATACTAAATGCTTTGGTGCTTCTTCTGGTGGGAACTCTGTTAACGATATTAACGATCTCTGTTGTTTCATTCTTCCATAGAAATCCACTGGTGTCGATGGTAATGTCGATGATTCATTATTAATTATTTGTTCTGGTATTCTTGGTGCACTTGACATTTTTTAAAAAATACAATTATTTAATTTTTAAAAATACATAAATAAAGGTTATTAATATTTAAAATTTTAAATAAAACAATTAAAATAAACCATAAATTGATTTTAATAAAAGAATTAACTTTGATTATTATTATTTATAATAGAGTTTATTTTATATAACATAAATATTTTAATTTTTATTATTATTATTATTATTATTATTATTATTATTATTATTATTATACATAAAATACAAATAATATATAATTACAACACAAAATATGATTGGATATATAAATGGTTTGAAGGAGGTTGTATTATTTTTTTAAAAAAAAAAAAAAAAAACATAAATTTTTACTAATTTTCAAATAATTAAAACTAAAAAGATATTAAAAAATTTTTTTTTTTTTTTTAATTTTTTTTTATTGATAAAAAACGCAAAATATTATTTATGATTTCCTTTTAAATAAACGACACACACATTTAACTCATTATTATAAATCTTTTTTTTTATTAAAAACAACAAATTAAAATAAAAAACCCAGATATACTTACATATAAAAAAGTTTACTTTTTTATATATATTAAAGTTGATAATACACAAATAAAACAAATGACCACAATATAATAATGTTGTAATATATAATGGATAAAAACACACCAACAATACTTTGATTTTGTTTTTTATCTAATAAATTGAACACACAATTATTTTTTGTTTATGAAATAATTTTTTAAAAAAAAAATAAAATAAAAATAAAAAAAATTAAAAATTTTATTAATTTTTTTTTAAATTTTTAAAATTTGTTTTTCCCACAACTTATGAAATAAATGTTTGGTTATATATTATTTTTTTATACATATTAACAAGTTGTTCCTGTCAAGAGGTTCGAGTGTTATATACAATGACTGGTAAAGGAGTATGTAATTGCTGGAACATTATCAAAAAGTCAATTCTTTTTAACGAAAGAAGATCCTTCATTTGCACGGAGCGAAGCCAAAACCTTGTGCCGGTGTCATAAGATTTATTTAGATTTTCTAAATTTGATCTTTGTGCCAATTTATTTATGATCTTTATTTGATCAAATGTAAAATAATGAATAATTAAAAAATAAATGGTGAATAAAAAAAATAAAAAAATAAAATTTAAATTAAATTAGGTTTAAAAAATATAATATTTAATAAAATTAGGTTTAAAATATATTTTATTCTTTATTTTCAAATAGTTCATTTAAACAAGCTTTAATCTTTTCAGCATCACCTTCATTTAGGCTATCAATATTTATTTCACTTTGATTATACCAGTCTTTAATAGTTTGGTACTCAATACCAAAAAAGTCAGTAACATGTAATCCTTTTAATTTTACCAACTCTAAAAATTTTGTAACTATTATATCATTATTATTATTGTTATTGATATTATTATTATTATTATTATTATTATTATTATTATTATTATTATTATTATTCATATTTACTTTCATGATTTCTTCTGCATACTTCTCGTTAGTTCCCTCTCCCCCTAATCTTTTTATTTCATTTTCCATTTCTGTTTTTTTCAATTTTTCAATTTCTAAAATTTTCTTTTTGTTTTCTAGTTCTAGGTTATCAATATTTATACCTATATCCACTTCAATTTTTTCTTTTTGAAGATTTTCTAAGTTTTTATCTAGGACCTTTTTCTTTTCTTTTAATTCTTGGTATTCTTGGTATTCTTGATTTGCCATTGTTTTTTTTTGAGGATTAATTTCCTTATCAATTTTTAAATTTTGACTTATAAGATCATATTCTTTGAATAATGAATTTTTATAATTTATAATTTGTCCTTTATTATTATTATTATTATTATTATTATTATTATTATTATTATTATTATTATTATTATTATTATTATTATTCATATTTACTTTCATGATTTCTTCCGCACACCTTCTCGTTAGTTCCCCTC